ATATATATATATATATATGTACACATACATACCGGCACCGAGGTTGTAAATATGGTGGGTCACTCCATCAACCACACCAGGCCCAACATTTAGTAAGAAGCTTTAGAAACCATTCCTTAACATAGAAACCACCAGGGCCTAACACTTTAGGCCTGTCTATTTTAATGCTTTTCTAACAATTATATAATGCTTGTTTTTACTTGTTCAGTTGTTGTATCTATCCTTAAACTTCTTTAATTGTCTTCATATCCTTATTTTACCCTAGTGCATCTATTTTATTGTGACAGAGCAAATCAAAAGTAGAGAAGAATCAAGCAATGGAACATATCAGCACTTTCCAGTTGAGGTTCTTCCTCTTTTAAAACAATCATAGATTTAATAATCAACAAATTAATGATCATGAAAAACATCATGAACAAGCCAATTTCTATTCAGAACATCAAAAACAAATAACACTCGTAATTTCAAAAGGCAAATAACATTGTAATTTCAAATCAAAACGTTAAAAAATAAATAAAGAACATTCGTATTCCCTTACCTCAAATTTGTAATCTCTGAAAAAATTTGTTCCACCTAAAACCTTTGAATGTTGACAACATTGGACTGAGCTTTCATAGTTTCAATGTCATGATTTAACCGTTGCTTCCAGTCATAAAGTAAAGCCTCGTCCTGTACAAGTTTGGAAGCAAAATAGATATTTGATAGGTAAATAGCAAGTTAGCAACATTATAAATTGCAAAATCAAATGAGTATAACATGATACACTGATACCTGAGGCAACTGTACAGTCACTTTGTTTGGAAAAAGGCGATTAAGTTGCTTCATGACTGTGGGTTTCTTTGCTCCTATCATGCAGTCTACTCAAGTTATCCTAAACAAAGGGTGTTAAGTATATTTCTTCATGAATAGAAACAACTTCTGGACAAGTATATAATAGAACTGGGGCAAACCTTAAACATTTCATTAATTGCAACTTTGCCAAGGTCATCCACTCCAGAGCCATCTACTCGTAGTAAATGATTTGCTGCAGTATAAATCACAAATGAATTATACGTGCCAAAATTATATAGTGCAGTGTACTAATATGCAACTAAAGAAACAGAAGTACAATCAAATACATTGAATTACCAGAACAAAAGAACCCACGATCATCTTCGCAAAGGCCACCAAGATCATTGCCATCTGGAATTGATTTATCAAACCTAACCCCAATTTTTGAAGCCCTATTATCTTCAAAAGCCAGGAGAACTTTGCCCCAAGAGCCATAGCTTGGTCCCCTGCTAAATATAAAAGAGGGAAAAAATCCATTTGCTAGACCAATAAATTAAACTAATGGACTAGAAATAGAAAGAAGAGAGAAAAATAACTAGTGGGAGAATAAAATATCCACCCAAAAAAGTAATTAAAAATGTGAAAAAGAAAAAAACAAATAAGTAAGCAAACAAGAAGAGTAAGAAGAAATTGAAAAGATGAAAGGAGGGCGAGATCTAACGATGCAGAAAAGGAGACATAATAAGACATACCATTCTCCTTGGCCTTGGATTCGTGCAAACAAAGATCAGAAGACACACCTGCCACACAAAATGCTTTCCTTATAAAGTTCACTCAATATGCATATACAAATCACACTCCCTTACCTCAAATTCGTAATCTCTGGAAAAAAATTTCCACCTAAAACCTTTGAACAAAAAAATCATAATGAAATATTATACATAGCAAAAATAGGGAATCAAAATAGATATGAATCGAAAACTCACCTTAAATGGAAGCAATCGATCAAAAAACAACGCAGAGAAGAGAAAATTTAAAGAAGGTCTTGCAAAATCACTAACCCTAAATTGGACAGTTTGCGAAATGGTTTTATCGCAAATTAGCTCCCGTTATGTTGAGCGTTTGACGGAAGAAGAAGAAGTTTGGGCGTGAAGCGAACCCGAGCATGCTTTTTTTTTTCTTTTTTGATTTTAAGTTCTTCTAACTCTTTATTTTTATTCTTTTAATTTTTTTAATAAGAATAACAATATAATTTAATTAAGTTGTCTACGTGAATATTATGACAGTTTTGTGGCGGTTAGAATAACCGCTAGAATTATAACATTTTTTGGCGGTTTATTGAAACCGCCAGAAAAAAACCGCCATTAATTAACTACTAATTTGTAGTGTTTGTTAAAAAACACTCATGTACTTCATCCCATCTCATTCTGGGAAGGCATGTTGTGCTAAAACTAAAAAGACCACATTCTCTCTTCTTGAAATAGGGGCATTTCTTTTGCTTCCCAAATTGGTAAACAATCTGATCTTCCACTAAACCTCATAATCTGATCCTCAGGGGATTAAATGCTACAAAAGTTTAGAATGATAGGTAAGGAGAAATTCATAAGCTAATATTGTTTACACATGATCATATGATATATGTTATAGACATTTGACAATTAAAATGCCACATCTTGCCTCTACTAAACTAAAGAATGAGGATGACGAAAAATGATTAATATAAAAGCAAATAACCTAGAAGAGCCAACAATACTTTTTCTTGTATTGAAATTATGTACAATGAAAATGTACATGATGCATTGGTGCCTAATGTTAAATACTAAATTTAATATGCTTGTTTGTCCCCAGGGACAGTCATTGTAGTTGCACTTATTATCAGACCACTAGTCCAAAGTTGCACAAATAAAATTATTATCTGTCACAGCAATGGACATCACCCCATTCACTATGAGTTTCACATCTTTTGCTAAAGATAAGGAAAATAATAAAAGAGTAGCATAACATAAAGTTTCTTTCACCTACATTATGAAAAGTGATTGAAAAGAAACTCTAGAAAACCACAACAAGTCTTCAAAAATTATGCAACTTTTGTATTCTTGCTACTTGCTAAAACTAGTTGACCTAATGACTTCTTTTATGCAAGTTATTAGTTGTTGTTTCTTTTCTTCAATTCTTTTAAGGTTCATGTATCTACTCGTTAATTTTCTAGAAATTCAATCATTTTGTGCTTTAATCTACCTGTATTTTTGTTTGCCACAATATTCCCATATCAATTTTTTCTTTTACACGAAACCTTTTTCATTATCAAAAGTCAAATTTCAGTCTGACATTCATGTAAGACTTTATTGGAAAAAATTGTTGGCTAATAGTTGATTTTTTCAATAACAATTTTTCTCATATATATTCTAGTATACTTTAGGATGAGCCCAATTAGTTACCTTTCTTAACTAAATAGTCATTTAAAGAGTCAACTAATTTAAGGGTATTAATTTTGGCTACTAGCTTGCTTAATTATTATTGTTTTTTGACACTGCTTAATTATTATATTGAAAAATTAAACTTGATGCTTAATAACAAATCGTATATGAAATATGACTTTTAAGATAATTGTTACAATAAAATTCAAAAAAAAACTCATCATACATACACATATAGTAATACGTGAATTAACACACCAATGTAAAAAACTTTTAATTATAGCCTTATTACATTTTAATTAAATTTGTTGTTCTCTTTTCCAACGCATTTCTCTCAAAGCAAATAATTTCTATGTTGATGGTTAGTTTTTACATGGTGACCCAACCCGTATTAGAATCATATGTGGTATGTTGATTGACATTTATAATAATCAACCTAAAAGTCATATTTAATTTATCATCAATTCCAATTGTTTGGCATTGTAATTATTTTTTGGATCAATTTATTTAATACTTCAAATAAAACAAATACTAACAAATGCTTTAGTATTGGAAAACGAAATAATTAAGAGCAAACACAAAATACTTATGACATGGGAATAAAACCATTAAAATCAATTATAATTATTTTTATATATTTTTTATTTTAAAATTTTCATATTAAAATTACAATATAAACAATTTTCAATTTAGGATATATTTTAATGATAATATTTGAAATTTTAGAAAAGAAGTTCATAAAATAGCCATTTATATATTATGCTATTTTAAAATTATAATTAGTGTGTATGATTTTTAAATTAGAATTGATTGTGAATTTTGATCTATAATAATTATATCACAAAAAAACATTTATCGTTCACACAAGGGGCATCATCTTTCTACTTCATTTTTTATTTATAGTTTGTCTATCTATATTTTTAAATTCTATATATATTTGCTGAGCTTTTAAAATTGTACAACTATTTTTATTGCATTCCATTTCTTTTTTCCATCTCTATCTTTATGTTGTTATCCTTATGATTTATATAAAAATACTTGTGACTTTGTTTAGTAATATGGGTGATTATAAAGATTCTATTTTTAAAATTTCTTATTCATTGTCTTGTGCTATATTTAGGTTAATCTTTTGCACTTTTTGAATGGTGAAGACTTTCTCCTTTTGCAAGCTTGACATTCTTTAGGATGATTTTTCAACTTTAGAGTTTCCTTTATGATGGAACCAACTTCTCCATGAGGGCTAGTGGTTGATTCCTTCTCTTCTCCAAGGTTGAGATGACATGAAGAGTGATCTCTTCAAGGGTATGGAAGTGGTGGAGATGGTGTTTAGGTAGGTGAAGGTTGACGCACAAAATGAAGGGGAGGAAGGGGAGGTGTTTAGTGGTGTAGCTCCTTTAGGCTAGCACACTTCACTTAGGATGATGAAGGCCAACCAAGGAAGACCCAAGCTTACTCAAGGAAGAGAGGATAGGGGGCCATGGAGTTCCTAGGGGTCTAAGGAAGGAATAAAGAGGCACAAGGCTCACTCAATATCATTAATTTCCAAAGTGGCTACAAGGTGGATGACCTAGAGTACTTATAGAGAGAGGAAAGGCATCTAGGGTTTCTTGGGAGCATTAGGCCAAAATTTTGAGGTCCAAATACACCCTAAATGCATCCCAAATGAAATGGCTCCCATCTCTCTAAAAGACTAAAGTACCCTTAGGTCTTGAAAAAGAAAGAAATGGACTTTGACCTTATAAAATAAGGTTTAAGTCCTAAAATAAATCCTAAGACTAATTTTGCCCCATAATACAAAGGCTAAATAGAAATACAAAATAGAATCCTAATATCTAATGTACCCCAAAATATAAGGGCAAAATAGGAAAAGAAAATAACAAACTAAGGAGAGGGCTCAAAATCCACACATATGATGATCATGGCTTTTGGTGTGGTGTGTTCTTCGTCTTCCTCTCCCCTCCTAGCCATGAACCTTATGATAGGCCCTATATGATGCTTCAAGGATGGTCCTCCATCATCCCCTCCTTCTTGAGAAGGATTTGACCTCAAATCTTCATCCTCATCCATTTCATTAGTCCCTACAAAAGGTGTAAGATCACAAACATTAAAAGAGGAACTAACTCCATAATCGGAGGGAAGGTCTAGGATGTATACATTGTAATTAATCCTTCTAAGAACTTGGAAAGGGCCATCTCCCTTAGGGCTTAGTTAGCCTCTCAAGGTGTATGCACTCTTTGATTTGGTGTGATCCTCCAAAGCACCTTGAACTCAATTCGTACAGCCCCTCCACTCAATCCACCAAGAAAGTGTGTGGTGTTTAGAAGCTTTCCTCACCTAGGTCAAGAAGAAACCAAAACCCAAGAGTATAAGAGGCTAAGGAAGAAAAAAACTAAAAAGGCACAATTAAGAAAAGGCTAAACTCAAATGGAATTGTTGAGACAAACTTAAGAGTAGAAAAAAGACACAAAACTAAAATTAAAGCACATTAAGAAGGGCAAGCACACAAAAGAATAAGTCCTAGAATGGCACTAGAATAAAATTTAGCAAGTAGGCTTAAAAGACAGTAATGCACTTAAGGTGTTTGATTAAATGTCTCATAAGGTCAATAAGCATTGTCCAATGGTCCAAGAATAACTCCAAGTGCCAAGGCATGAGAATTTTGGGTCCAAAACTCCACAAGTCTAGTAAATGTTCTCTTTTTCTTTTGTCTTTGATTCTTTTTTATTTTGTTTCTTTTATTCCTTATGACACTTGACTAGGTCACGGTTTTGAGGTCCAAAAGTCCAGCCAATACTCTTTTTTTATTTTATTTTATAGTTCTTCTTTGCTTGGGTTTTACACTTGTGTCTTGGTTGTTTGATGGGCAAGTCCTTGGAGTATCCTCTTAGCAACTTACAATGGCTTAAAGAGACAAGTTTTGAGTGTTTTCTTAAGGTTTTTAATGTGCAATGTCCAGCAACAAGAATTTGCACATAAGGTTTTTAAGGATTTTCTTAAGGTTTTTTGATTTTGTTTCTTTTGTTCCTTATGACACTTGACTAGGTCACGGTTTTGAGGTCCAAAAGTCCAGCCAATACTCTTTTTTTATTTTATTTTATAGTTCTTCTTTGCTTGGGTTTTACACTTGTGTCTTGTTAGTTTGATGACTAACAATTATATAATGCTTGTTTTTACTTGTTCAGTTGTTGTATCTATCCTTAAACTTCTTTAATTGTCTTCATATCCTTATTTTACCCTAGTGCATCTATTTTATTGTGACAGAGCAAATCAAAAGTAGAGAAGAATCAAGCAATGGAACATATCAGCACTTTCCAGTTGAGGTTCTTCCTCTTTTAAAACAATCATAGATTTAATAATCAACAAATTAATGATCATGAAAAACATCATGAACAAGCCAATTTCTATTCAGAACATCAAAAACAAATAACACTCGTAATTTCAAAAGGCAAATAACATTGTAATTTCAAATCAAAACGTTAAAAAATAAATAAAGAACATTCGTATTCCCTTACCTCAAATTTGTAATCTCTGAAAAAATTTGTTCCACCTAAAACCTTTGAATGTTGACAACATTGGACTGAGCTTTCATAGTTTCAATGTCATGATTTAACCGTTGCTTCCAGTCATAAAGTAAAGCCTCGTCCTGTACAAGTTTGGAAGCAAAATAGATATTTGATAGGTAAATAGCAAGTTAGCAACATTATAAATTGCAAAATCAAATGAGTATAACATGATACACTGATACCTGAGGCAACTGTACAGTCACTTTGTTTGGAAAAAGGCGATTAAGTTGCTTCATGACTGTGGGTTTCTTTGCTCCTATCATGCAGTCTACTCAAGTTATCCTAAACAAAGGGTGTTAAGTATATTTCTTCATGAATAGAAACAACTTCTGGACAAGTATATAATAGAACTGGGGCAAACCTTAAACATTTCATTAATTGCAACTTTGCCAAGGTCATCCACTCCAGAGCCATCTACTCGTAGTAAATGATTTGCTGCAGTATAAATCACAAATGAATTATACGTGCCAAAATTATATAGTGCAGTGTACTAATATGCAACTAAAGAAACAGAAGTACAATCAAATACATTGAATTACCAGAACAAAAGAACCCACGATCATCTTCGCAAAGGCCACCAAGATCATTGCCATCTGGAATTGATTTATCAAACCTAACCCCAATTTTTGAAGCCCTATTATCTTCAAAAGCCGGGAGAACTTTGCCCCAAGAGCCATAGCTTGGTCCCCTGCTTAATATAAAAGAGGGAAAAAATCCATTTGCCAGACCAATAAATTAAACTAATGGACTAGAAATAGAAAGAAGAGAGGAAAATAACTAGTGGGAGAATAAAATATCCACCCAAAAAAGTAATTAAAAATGTGAAAAAGAAAAAAAAAAAATAAGTAAGCAAACAAGAAGAGTAAGAAGAAATTGAAAAGATGAAAGGAGGGCGAGATCTAACGATGCAGAAAAGGAGACATAATAAGACATACCATTCTCCTTGGCCTTGGATTCGTGCAAACAAAGATGAGAAGACACACCTGCCACACAAAATGCTTTCCTTATAAAGTTCACTCAATATGCGTATACAACTCACACTCCTTTACCTCAAATTCGTAATCTCTGAAAAATTTGTTCCACCTAAAACCTTTGAACAAAAAAATCATAATGAAATATTATACATAGCAAAAATAGGGAATCAAAATAGATATGAATCGAAAACTCACCTTAAATGGAAGCAATCGATCGAAAAACAACGCAGAGAAGAGAAAATTTAAAGAAGGTCTTGCGAAATCACTAACCCTAACTTGGACAATTTGCGAAATGGTTTTATTGCAAATTAGCTCCCGTTATGTTGAGCGTTTGACGGAAGCAGAAGAAGTTTGGGCGTGAAGCGAAGCCGAGCATGCTTTTTTTTTTCTTTTTTGATTTTAAGTTCTTCTAACTCTTTATTTTTATTCTTTTAATTTTTTTAATAAGAATAACAATATAATTTAATTAAGTTGTCTACGTGAATATTATGACAGTTTTGTGGCGGTTAGAATAACCGCTAGAATTATAACATTTTTTGGCGGTTTATTGAAACCGCCAGAAAAAAACCGCCATTAATTAACTACTAATTTGTAGTGTTTGTTAAAAAACACTCATGTACTTCATCCCATCTCATTCTGGGAAGGCATGTTGTGCTAAAACTAAAAAGACCACATTCTCTCTTCTTGAAATAGGGGCATTTCTTTTGCTTCCCAAATTGGTAAACAATCTGATCTTCCACTAAACCTCATAATCTGATCCTCAGGGGATTAAATGCTACAAAAGTTTAGAATGATAGGTAAGGAGAAATTCATAAGCTAATATTGTTTACACATGATCATATGATATATGTTATAGACATTTGACAATTAAAATGCCACATCTTGCCTCTACTAAACTAAAGAATGAGGATGACGAAAAATGATTAATATAAAAGCAAATAACCTAGAAGAGCCAACAATACTTTTTCTTGTATTGAAATTATGTACAATGAAAATGTACATGATGCATTGGTGCCTAATGTTAAATACTAAATTTAATATGCTTGTTTGTCCCCAGGGACAGTCATTGTAGTTGCACTTATTATCAGACCACTAGTCCAAAGTTGCACAAATAAAATTATTATCTGTCACAGCAATGGACATCACCCCATTCACTATGAGTTTCACATCTTTTGCTAAAGATAAGGAAAATAATAAAAGAGTAGCATAACATAAAGTTTCTTTCACCTACATTATGAAAAGTGATTGAAAAGAAACTCTAGAAAACCACAACAAGTCTTCAAAAATTATGCAACTTTTGTATTCTTGCTACTTGCTAAAACTAGTTGACCTAATGACTTCTTTTATGCAAGTTATTAGTTGTTGTTTCTTTTCTTCAATTCTTTTAAGGTTCATGTATCTACTCGTTAATTTTCTAGAAATTCAATCATTTTGTGCTTTAATCTACCTGTATTTTTGTTTGCCACAATATTCCCATATCAATTTTTTCTTTTACACGAAACCTTTTTCATTATCAAAAGTCAAATTTCAGTCTGACATTCATGTAAGACTTTATTGGAAAAAATTGTTGGCTAATAGTTGATTTTTTCAATAACAATTTTTCTCATATATATTCTAGTATACTTTAGGATGAGCCCAATTAGTTACCTTTCTTAACTAAATAGTCATTTAAAGAGTCAACTAATTTAAGGGTATTAATTTTGGCTACTAGCTTGCTTAATTATTATTGTTTTTTGACACTGCTTAATTATTATATTGAAAAATTAAACTTGATGCTTAATAACAAATCGTATATGAAATATGACTTTTAAGATAATTGTTACAATAAAATTCAAAAAAAAACTCATCATACATACACATATAGTAATACGTGAATTAACACACCAATGTAAAAAACTTTTAATTATAGCCTTATTACATTTTAATTAAATTTGTTGTTCTCTTTTCCAACGCATTTCTCTCAAAGCAAATAATTTCTATGTTGATGGTTAGTTTTTACATGGTGACCCAACCCGTATTAGAATCATATGTGGTATGTTGATTGACATTTATAATAATCAACCTAAAAGTCATATTTAATTTATCATCAATTCCAATTGTTTGGCATTGTAATTATTTTTTGGATCAATTTATTTAATACTTCAAATAAAACAAATACTAACAAATGCTTTAGTATTGGAAAACGAAATAATTAAGAGCAAACACAAAATACTTATGACATGGGAATAAAACCATTAAAATCAATTATAATTATTTTTATATATTTTTTATTTTAAAATTTTCATATTAAAATTACAATATAAACAATTTTCAATTTAGGATATATTTTAATGATAATATTTGAAATTTTAGAAAAGAAGTTCATAAAATAGCCATTTATATATTATGCTATTTTAAAATTATAATTAGTGTGTATGATTTTTAAATTAGAATTGATTGTGAATTTTGATCTATAATAATTATATCACAAAAAAACATTTATCGTTCACACAAGGGGCATCATCTTTCTACTTCATTTTTTATTTATAGTTTGTCTATCTATATTTTTAAATTCTATATATATTTGCTGAGCTTTTAAAATTGTACAACTATTTTTATTGCATTCCATTTCTTTTTTCCATCTCTATCTTTATGTTGTTATCCTTATGATTTATATAAAAATACTTGTGACTTTGTTTAGTAATATGGGTGATTATAAAGATTCTATTTTTAAAATTTCTTATTCATTGTCTTGTGCTATATTTAGGTTAATCTTTTGCACTTTTTGAATGGTGAAGACTTTCTCCTTTTGCAAGCTTGACATTCTTTAGGATGATTTTTCAACTTTAGAGTTTCCTTTATGATGGAACCAACTTCTCCATGAGGGCTAGTGGTTGATTCCTTCTCTTCTCCAAGGTTGAGATGACATGAAGAGTGATCTCTTCAAGGGTATGGAAGTGGTGGAGATGGTGTTTAGGTAGGTGAAGGTTGACGCACAAAATGAAGGGGAGGAAGGGGAGGTGTTTAGTGGTGTAGCTCCTTTAGGCTAGCACACTTCACTTAGGATGATGAAGGCCAACCAAGGAAGACCCAAGCTTACTCAAGGAAGAGAGGATAGGGGGCCATGGAGTTCCTAGGGGTCTAAGGAAGGAATAAAGAGGCACAAGGCTCACTCAATATCATTAATTTCCAAAGTGGCTACAAGGTGGATGACCTAGAGTACTTATAGAGAGAGGAAAGGCATCTAGGGTTTCTTGGGAGCATTAGGCCAAAATTTTGAGGTCCAAATACACCCTAAATGCATCCCAAATGAAATGGCTCCCATCTCTCTAAAAGACTAAAGTACCCTTAGGTCTTGAAAAAGAAAGAAATGGACTTTGACCTTATAAAATAAGGTTTAAGTCCTAAAATAAATCCTAAGACTAATTTTGCCCCATAATACAAAGGCTAAATAGAAATACAAAATAGAATCCTAATATCTAATGTACCCCAAAATATAAGGGCAAAATAGGAAAAGAAAATAACAAACTAAGGAGAGGGCTCAAAATCCACACATATGATGATCATGGCTTTTGGTGTGGTGTGTTCTTCGTCTTCCTCTACCCTCCTAGCCATGAACCTTATGATAGGCCCTATATGATGCTTCAAGGATGGTCCTCCATCATCCCCTCCTTCTTGAGAAGGATTTGACCTCAAATCTTCATCCTCATCCATTTCATTAGTCCCTACAAAAGGTGTAAGATCACAAACATTAAAAGAGGAACTAACTCCATAATCGGAGGGAAGGTCTAGGATGTATACATTGTAATTAATCCTTCTAAGAACTTGGAAAGGGCCATCTCCCTTAGGGCTTAGTTAGCCTCTCAAGGTGTATGCACTCTTTGATTTGGTGTGATCCTCCAAAGCACCTTGAACTCAATTCGTACAGCCCCTCCACTCAATCCACCAAGAAAGTGTGTGGTGTTTAGAAGCTTTCCTCACCTAGGTCAAGAAGAAACCAAAACCCAAGAGTATAAGAGGCTAAGGAAGAAAAAAACTAAAAAGGCACAATTAAGAAAAGGCTAAACTCAAATGGAATTGTTGAGACAAACTTAAGAGTAGAAAAAAGACACAAAACTAAAATTAAAGCACATTAAGAAGGGCAAGCACACAAAAGAATAAGTCCTAGAATGGCACTAGAATAAAATTTAGCAAGTAGGCTTAAAAGACAGTAATGCACTTAAGGTGTTTGATTAAATGTCTCATAAGGTCAATAAGCATTGTCCAATGGTCCAAGAATAACTCCAAGTGCCAAGGCATGAGAATTTTGGGTCCAAAACTCCACAAGTCTAGTAAATGTTCTCTTTTTCTTTTGTCTTTGATTCTTTTTTATTTTGTTTCTTTTATTCCTTATGACACTTGACTAGGTCACGGTTTTGAGGTCCAAAAGTCCAGCCAATACTCTTTTTTTATATTTTATAGTTCTCCTTTGCTTGGGTTTTACACTTGTGTCTTGTTAGTTTGATGAGCAAGTCCTTAGAGTATCCTCTTAGCAACTTACAATGGCTTAAAGAGACAAGTTTTGAGTGTTTTCTTAAGGTTTTTAATGTGCAATGTCCAGCAACAAGAATTTGCACATAAGGTTTTTAAGGATTTTCTTAAGGTTTTTTGATTTTGTTTCTTTTGTTCCTTATGACACTTGACTAGGTCACGGTTTTGAGGTCCAAAAGTCCAGCCAATACTCTTTTTTTATTTTATTTTATAGTTCTTCTTTGCTTGGGTTTTACACTTGTGTCTTGTTAGTTTGATGAGCAAGTCCTTGGAGTATCCTCTTAGCAACTTACAATGGCTTAAAGAGACAAGTTTTGAGTGTTTTCTTAAGGTTTTTAATGTGCAATGTCCAGCAACAAGAATTTGCACATAAAAGTCATTTTCATACTCAAAACATCAAACAATACATAGGCATATCAAGTGCACCAAGGAATACACAAAGTGGCCGAAAATTTTAAAGCAAGTATGTGCAAAGAAATTAATCACACATGATATTTTAGGAATGTAGAACATGCTAGAACTAATTAGCATGCATGATTGACTCTCTAAAGCACATCAAGGGAGCGTCTCCAAACCCTAAACCATCATCACCCATTCGTACAAGATCAGAGACGCAACACCTAAGAAAGAAGGGTTTCAATGTTTACCTATAAGAGTTTCAACGAGCCTAGTAGTGTATCAGAAAATCAGCTTCGAAGATCAATGACCTTGCTAGTGTGTGATTCACGCGAGCTAGGTACCTTCAAAGTTCAATCTGTGCTAGCCCTAAAGGTAATGTGCTTCCAGCAGAGATGACCGTGTGCGAAATTTTGCAGAGGTGCTAAAGGCACTGTGCTCGCGCGGAAAGGAGAAAAGAAATTGCTCATATATTCTACATCG